CCCCCCCCCACAAACACGAAGAAAAAAAAAGAAAAAAGAATAAAACCATTAACCCATAAAGAAAAAAAAAAAACCACATCAAAAAACAAAAACGATCGTGCAACTCCTCCGTTCTACGGCGTTCCCTCCATCCAATGAAATTCCCCACATTTCGCACTCACTGAGCTCGGCACCTTAATACGTGTCTGTCTGTAGCACTCAGGTAATACGGACAAGATGGCGGACTAGATTGCAGGCGATGCAAAACAAACGCACGGCACACACTTATCCGATTGAATGGAACGTTCTTATCGGGCATGGCCTTTCTGGTCAGATTTTTATTTAAAACTATTTGTTGATGCTATTTGAACTCAACAGATAGCTGAACGTCAACTTCCTTACCTTTTTCTGGACCAGTCGCTTTGATATCTAAGCAACTGCCCCCCCCCCAAACACACACCCCGCCCAAACCCCAAAGTGCATTGTCATTAACTTCATTCAAAAAGTCAGATTCGACGCTGTCCGTCAGGGCTGAGTGGATACAGCATCCCAGTAGACAGACGGATATTCTTGATTAAAATCATCCCCACATGGGAATCGAACTCTCTTCTGGGTGCAAAGAGCAGAGAGCACAGCCATTACACCTAAAGCATCGGGGTCCCAGTTTGGCAAACACGAGTGGTTGAATGAACGTTTATGCTAGACAGTTTATTTTTTCAGAAGACAGTTTACTCTTTCAGAATCCCGTTTGGCATGAGTGTCCTTCTCTGCTTGACACCAACTGATTAACTCTTTCAAGGCAGCAAGTCTGCTGACTTTTAAGTTGTGTGACCGTTTTTCTTATTTAATTTTTCCTCCATAGAATTTATCATAAATATGTGCCCTACCTGCACTGCAACTAACTGTATTCTTATATATCATATTATACTGATTAATCTATTCTTTTCTAAAAATGTTGGTGCGCGCGTAATATGTGAGTAGCTTGAAATCTTTCTTTTTATGACGTAAGTGGAAAAGTTTATATACTGTTTGGACGTAGCTTGCAGCAATAAAGCAGGAAATAGGCTTACGACTAATTGTAAGAGTCAAACAGAACCACCTATTTGGACTAAGGTCTACACTAGGTAAGCAGAACCACCTAGTCGGTTAAACGTCTACACTTCATAAGCAGAGCCACCTATTGGATAAACGCCTAGGCTACCCTACATAATACCCACCAACATTTCCTCGGGCAAGTTCCGTCTGATTTCATTACAGGAAAGCGGGACAACTCTGCCCGTTCTCCGACTCGTCTTCTGCTATCGGATATTCATCCCCCTCTCTCTCGCATCTTAAATGGAGCGTTCTCAGAATGGTTTTTCAGATGTCTAAACAATTTTTGTCTTAGGTAAAAGTTCCCAGGAAAATCCATCGTCTCTTTTCAATAAAACATCTGCTTCCATTAGATCTTCATCGTTGCCATCTATCGTTCTATCTCGAGCTGCGATTTCGCGTCTGTATAATCGTGTATTTAGAATCTAGTTCTGTTAAGATCTGAGGGCACATTTTTAGCTGGTCGTTGGCTGTTATGTTTTAAACTACAGTATTTCCCTTTTTAAAATCTCAGTAACGTGCCCCAATTCTAAATCTCCGTTTGTCCGGCTCTGCCTGTCTTCCTTCTTAACCTTATAATAATCCTTTACTGCTTTTTTTATGTACAACATTATTAACAACAGGCGAGCACATACTATCCCCCCCCCCAACCCTCTGAAATAAACTAAAAAACAAACAAACTAACACACAAACAATAAAACCGAACCGAATCAACCAACCACTCAATCAACCAACAAAACAACTAACCAACTAACCAACCAAAGCCATTATCAACAACAATTTTAGCGATATTTTTTAAAGCATAAAACAGATGAAACTCAAGTATAGACATGGCGTGTTGTGTTTCCTTCTTCAAGTGTCTTATCTGAAACGGGCAGCAGCGATCACGGTTCACTATATTCATTTCTTTGCTGGTATTCACTCAAAATATATCATCTTTCTGTATTATTGTCCTCGTATTTTTTTCGCCCCGCGTCTGTTTAAGTTCTCTAAATAAGTTATTACTGATCTACTTCAGTACTTTCTCTCCTCCCATCTGAACTAAGGTCCTGTCTTGTTGTGCGTATACGTGAGTGCACCTATCCTTTGTAATTGTAACGTCTACTGCCATTGTTAACGACCAAGCCAAATGTCTCCCTGCGAGATGAAAAAAGATTGTCATTGTCAGTTCTCTAAGAAGTTTATTACTGATCTACCTGTAACTCACTCCCCTTCATTTTTTGTTGTTGCGAGATTAAGACGGGGGCTTCCAGCGGCCTAGATCTAGTGGTCAGGGAGCTCAGGATTTCAATGTCAAGCATTAGTCAATTTACTTTTTTTATTTTCTGAATCATTTTTCTTTTGCTATTCCCGCCTTGTGTTCCTTAACCTTTGACCTGTTCACGGATGCCGGGAACGAAGAGGCCGACTTGCCTCTCCCGACAAAAACATCTTCGAGCACTGATTTCTCTCTCTCTCTTTCTCTCTCTCTCTTTCTCTCTCACTCTCTCGATCTCTCTGTCTCTGTCTGTCTGTCTGTATGT